TTTCCTAAATGTGCACCTTTTCCTTTATCTGCTCTGGGCCTCAGTTCTCCATTCCATTCAAGTCAAGCAAACAAATATTTATTTAACACCTATTAATTAGTACAGGCTCTGTTCTGGGTTAAAGACACACCAGTAAAAAATTAAAGGCTAGGGCCGGCCCGTGGCTCTCTTGGGAGAGTGCGGTGCTGATAACACTAAGGCCACGGGTTCGGATCCCATATGGGGAAGGCCAGTTAGCTCACTGGGTGAGCATGGTGCTGACAACACCAAGTCAAGGGTTGAGATCCCCTTACCTGTCATCTTTAAAAAAAAAAAAAATTAAAGACTAACAAGTGGTGGGTATAAGTGCTCAATCTGTTTTAAGAATATGGGGGAGAAGGGGACAAGGAACTTTCTCCTTAGCCCTGCCTCAGAATCCTGGTCCCTACATCTGCCCTGTTGCAGCCTGCCCACTAAATACAAGGTAGATCCATGCACTTCTCTCCACCCCACTGCCACCACCTGGCCTGCCAAGCACTCTCTCTCATCTGGCACTGCCTTGGCCTCCTAGTGGGTCTCGGGCCATCTCTCTTGCCCGTCTGTGTCCATTCTGCACATGGTGGCCAGAACAATCTTGTCAAAACCCACATCCATTCATGTCAATCTCAGCTCAGAATGCCTCAATGGCTTCCCATGACCATGGCCCAGGGCCCTCATGATCTGGCCCTGTCTAACTCCCTCCCCGTCACTCACTACACTCTAGCCACCAGGGTCAAAGTTTACTTCTTCAGGGAGACAACCACCTTCCTAACTGCAGGCCTTTAAATGTGCCTTTCCCGCTACCTGGATGGCTCTCCCTCCTCTTCACCTGATAACTCCTCATCCACCAGATTTCAACTTAGAGATTATTTCTTCTATTCCCCACCCCCCACCCCCAACCCCACACACCTGGCCAAGACTAAAGAGCCTGCTTTCATTAATTCTCCTGATACTCTACACTATTCCTCTTGTACACAGTTGTCACTGAACTCCAACTTGAGTAACTATTTGTTTACTATCTGCCTTTCTTTCTTGACCATCAGCTCTATGGAGGCACCTGCCTTGTTCACCACTGTATTCACTGCCTGCCACACACTGAGATATGGATAATGCAATGGTTAAAAACACAGAACTGGAGCCAGACTGCCTGGGTTTGTGAACTTGTCCTTTAACTTCTCAGGGCCTGAATTCTCCATCCATAAAATGCAGATAATTATAATCCTTACAACTTCAGGGTCATTTTGAAGTTTAAATGAGTTAATACCTATAAAGTGCTAATACTGCCCAGCACATAGTCAGTGCTCAGTAAATGTAAATCATGAATACAGGANGTCTGATCATTTTTCTCTCCCTGTCCTCTCCATAGGATGGCACGTTTGGGCTGAACTGCAGTGAACGCTGTGACTGCAGCCATGCCAATGGCTGTGATCCTGTCACAGGCTACTGCTGCTGCCTGGCCGGATGGACAGGTAACCCCCTCTGCCTCACCACTACCCAGGGCCTATGAAACTCGGTTCTTGTTATTGTCCTTTTTCTCTTGACTGTTCTCTTTCTCCTTTAATACCTTTCTTGTTTCCTAAATGTGCACCTTTTCCTTTATCTGCTCTGGGCCTCAGTTCTCCATTCCATTCAATTCAAGCAAATAAATATTTATTTAACACCTATTAATTAGTACAGGCTCTGTTCTGGGGTTAAAGACACACCAGTAAAAAATTAAAGGCTAGGGCCGGCCCGTGGCTCACTTGGGAGAGTGCGGTGCTGATAACACTAAGGCCACGGGTTCGGATCCCATATGGGGAAGGCCAGTTAGCTCACTGGGTGAACATGGTGCTGACAACACCAAGTCAAGGGTTGAGATCCCCTTACCTGTCATCTTAAAAAAAAAAAAATTAAAGAATAACAAGTGGTGGGTATAAGTGCTCAATCTGTTTTAAGAATATGGGGGAGGGCCGGCCTGGTGGCGCACTGGATAAGTGCGCCGCTTGGGAAGTGCGGCGGCGCC